TAAATTTATACCCCGCCCCCCAGACCATGTCTACTGTTGTTATTATTATTATTAGTAGTAGTAGTAGTAGCAGCAGCAGTAGTATTTTAAAAATTCCAGGCACAGTCAACATTATGAAAACATTGACATCATATAACAGATACAAGTTTTAACCAAAAAACTAACTATCTGTTAAATATCAGCGCAGTATGTATGCTGTTCCTAATATTGTCATTTTTTGTAGCTCGGATGTGGTCTGATTCCTGAGATCTGCAAACGTTTATAGTACCGTGTGAAGTTTCTTGATATTGTTCCCAAAGCCCCATTAACTACAGGGACCACTGAAGTGTGTTTCTTCCTGAGGCAAGATGTTTCGATTGCCATGTATCTGAACTTTGTTAATTTTTCCAATTCTTTATTTTCAACTTTGGCATCCCCTGTAACTACAATGTCAATGATCCAGACATTTCTTCATTCTATCACTCCTATGTCTAGCGTGTTATGCTGAAAATGTCTCTCAGTTTGGTTCTGGAAATCCCACAAGATCTTGACTTCCTCATTTTCTGACACCTTCTCAGCCTGATGTTTCCATGGGATTTTGGAGGCTGGCAAGTTATATTTTTTGCATAATGACCAGTGTACCAATTTTGCCATTCTAGCATGTCTTTTGTGCGATCTTTGGACATTTACAGATGAGGTGTGACGCAGTTTCATCTTTTTCTTGGCAGAGTTGACATTTACTTTTAGCACTAATTCCTTGAATTTCAGCTTTCATCATATTGGTTTGGAGTGCTTGTTCTCATGCAGCAAAAATCAAGCCTTCGGTTTCTTTTTTAGATTAGATTAGGCATTCTTCAGTCTCGAGACACTATGGTAGCGTGCTCTGTATGGAGGACTTGGAACAGCGTCTAGTGTGGCTGAGAAGGCTAATATGAGAGTGACACTCCCTTCCACACTGAAGACGAATACAATCTGTACCCCACTCAGCTCCTGATTTTGCTGCTTTCTTGACTGTCTCTTTGCCTCAGCCTGCTGGACAAGGGTCTCTTCAAATTGGGAGAGGCCGTGATGCACTGCCTGCCTCCAGGCTGAACGCTCAGATGTCAGGGGTGTCCCATCTGTTGAGGTCCATTCCCAAAGGCTTCAGATCACGCTTGGAGATATCCTTGTATCGCAGCTGTGGTCTCCCTCTGGGGCGATTTCCCTGCACTAATTCTCCATACAGGAGATCTTTTGGAATCCAACCACCAGCCATTCTCACAACATACCCAAGCCAGCATAACATGGCTCAACTGCTAGGCAGAATGTTCCCAAGCGCATAGATTCTGCCTTCTGAAATCCATGGTTCTTCAAGTCCCACTGGTTGCCTAGGTCTTTCTTTCTTTCCCATCTTTTTCTAGGATCTGAACAGCTCAGCCAATGGCAACCAAAATCTGTTCTGCTTCCCAGTGGCATCACAGCAGTTCAGTCATTCAGTACCAAAAATTTCAGCCCCAGCATCTAAACTCTTAGACATCTGTATTAATGTTCCACATTGTTCTGTCAACAGCATAACATTCTCACAACATACCCATTCAGCAAGATGTCGCTGTTTCAGTAATGTATACATGCTAAAAATTCCAGCTCGATCTAGGACTACTCTACATGGAACTTTGTCCTGCCAGGTGATACCAAAAATGCGTCGGAGACAACGCATATGGAATGTGTTCAGCTTCCTCTCCTACCGTGCACAAAGGGACCAGGACTCAACTGCAGTACAGGAGTGTGCTCAGGACACAATACTCTATAGACCTGGATCTTGGAGTATGCTGTCAGCTTCTTATTGAGTCATACTCTCTTTGTGAGTCTTGAGAACATGGTAGCTGCTTTGCCAATGCGTTTATCCAGCTCGACATCTAGGGAGAGAGTGTCAGAGATCGTTGAGCCAAGGTACACAAATTCATGAACAATCTCCAATTCTTGCGTGGAGATGGTTATAGAGGGAGATGAGTCCATGTCCTGGCTCATGACTTGTGTTTTCTTCAGGCTGACTGTTAGTCCAAAGTCTTGGCAGGCCTTGCTAAAATGATTCATGAGTTGTTGGAGGTCTTCAGCAGAGTGGGAAACAATGGCTGCATCATCGGTGAAGAGGAAGTCCCGCATGCATTTCAGCTGGACTTTGGTCTTTGCTCTCAATCTAGAGTAACTGCAGAGCTTTCAATCAGATCTAGTCGAGAGATTCATTCTGTTGTAGTTCCGAAGGCATTTTAGCCATGTCCATGGTGAATTACTATCATGCTTTCCATCAGTATTTCTCAGGTGTTGTTCATATTGTTGTGGCTGATGATGCTGTTGTCATCACCATTATTGTCATCCTCCTCATCTTCTGTGAGCTGTGTCAATAACAGTTGCACCCATTTATAACATACTTAACTTTATACTTTTCCTTTGCTTTCTTTCCACTGTGCACTGATGGCGCAAGCATTGACATACTGTAATTGACTATAGTCTGTGCCAATTCTATTAAAATTTAAATAATATAAGAAAATGGCACTGACCATTCACAACAGTAAATAAAACGATAATGTAGTTTTCCTAACTATTCTGACACCTGCAGCAGAAAAGAAAAACTAAAGTTTTGCTCAAATAACAGAATGAAATTGCCAATAAATTCTATACTCTCCTCCCTGCATGTTCTGCTAAGACATCGGAAGACTTGTTCCAAAGCCCTATGAAGGTCATCAACTGATATGTACTGGAAACAGGATCTTCTCTGATGGTTCTTACATTGTGGAGTGTCTTTAAAGCAAGATCATTATGGTTTTGACAATAAGTTATTTCAGAAATTTGGTGAGAAGCATACATTTGGAGGATTGTTTCTAGGCATGCTATTTCATATTTTTCAAAATGAGGTTGAATCTTGTGAGACACTGCTTTGTCACCTGATTAATTAAATATTGCTCTAAGTTTATGCTTACACCTCAACAACAGCAACAACTGAAAAGAAAATAAGCTGTGAACCTTGTCTACAATGCAAAAACAGGGCATAATATACAAAGGAATGGCACCTATATGCATTATGCCTCAAATTCACTTGATGAAAAAGGTGGCTTTTAAAAAAAAAGTAATTTAGCAATTTAATGTCAGAGCCTTCCTTTGAATTTCCTTTTTTGAAGAATGATGATCATTTGACATCACAATGCATAATGTTGCTTGTATCTGCATACACATAAATATATCCATGTGCAAACTGAAGATGATACTTGATGGCCAGAATCCTACCAGGATTTTATGCCAGCATAATGCAAATTGTGTAATTACGGGAGGCAAGCTATCTTAAATTAAGACTTGGGCAACTCGGTACAAAGCAGGTAATGTCTACAGTGATTTTTTTAAGTTGAGGAACTCACCTACAAAATTTACAAGATTTACTTTATACTTGGAAGCATAACTACAGTACCAGGATTTTGGCCAATGTATTTCATGATGTGGCCAGTCTACAAAAGCTAATGCCACAATGGAACTTCTGAAGTTGCACTGGACATTTTCACTAATGGAAGATGTCCTGTCAGCTGATGCAGGAAGAGGTGATTTCCTGCTCTGCAACAAGACATTCTCCTTCTCTCCCTAGGCTTCCACACCACACACACATTGCTCTGACATAGATGCTGAGGATGTGCATGGAAACACTGCAACTTTCTGGGTCTGATTTTGGTTAGCAAAATTATCCACCTAGGTTCTGGGCTGTTTTCAATGTGCTGCAATCCTTTTTTGTTACTGATGAATAGTTCTGTATTTCTTCACTTGCATTACCAAACTGGTATTAGATGAACATAAAACCAAATTCTGATTGAAAAAGCAATACTCTTATTATTCTGCTGCTGCAACAAAATAAGAAATAACTTTCAGTAATGCCATCATTTTGTTACAGTTAACGTTTTTGAACTGGCTTCCTATTCCTTTATGCAGCACTTCAGAAAACTTAATACATAATACTACACTTGTATTCTAATAAACAACCCATGTTGTTTATTAGAATTGTAAGGATTTCTACTTATGTTCTTTTAAATAAACAGCTGAATTACATGGTGCCAGACAAAGTTGAACCCATTACTGTAATTATATCCTAAACAGCACTCATAGCTGCACAAACCACACATTCCTATACCACTTAATGAATACATATGGCTTATATTTCAGTTGTATAAAGGATATGTATTTTAAAAGAAAAGTAAAAAACCAAGCTAAGGAGAAAAGTGCTTAGAACAGCAGAGCACTGTTAGAAGCAGATTTAACTCTCCTCATCCATAACTATTTGCAGCACTATCCATCACATTTGTTTTGGCTGTCTATACAATACCTGTGCACACTGGGTTGCTTTCTTGAGGCATGGATCCTGCAATGCTTCCACTATGATTCTTTTGAGCTGACTGGAGTTCTGGAGCAGACCATGAAGCAGAGTTGTTACCTGAAGAAACTGTTTGTTGTCCTGTAGGTGGGACTCTGTTTTGACTGAAGTAAGCATTTACTTCCTTTGAATGTCCAAGAGCTGGTACACTGTGGAATGTAGGCACTTGTCCATAAAGACTACCAATGGGCATAGAAGGATATGAAACATTAGGATAAGCAGTACTAGAAACAGGCATGGTATAGTGACCAGATGAAGAACCAAATCCCTGAGATGGAACTGAAGAGTTGGCAGAGTGCAAGGCTGAATTACTGTAGGGACTACCAAATGAAGAATATGATTGAGAAATGCTGGTAGGTAACTGGGATGCAGAAGAAATCAATGGTTGGAGAGGTCCAGATGATTCTGCAATATGAGGTGCTCTACTGTACAAGTGCTGTGCTCCCTGTGTGCTCAACATCTTGGGAGTCACAGAAGATGTGTTAACATTTTGTGCTGGTACCGAGTAGTGAGCAGAAAAATAATCAGCACTATAATGGTTATCCAGCTGTGAGGGGATAGCTTTACTGGGCACTTGGGAGTAGTGTCCTGAGGGAGCACTATAGTTTTCAGGATGTGACCCATATCCAGAGAAGAACTGCATTTGATTTTGTGCTGGTCCTGAAAAGAAAACAAAAAGAGAGGAAAATTTATTAAAGTTGAATTATCTCTTTAAAAGCAAAGCACGAAACCACATTGTCAGAAAGTGTCTTTTCTCTTTAAAAAAATACCATGCCACAACAATCTACTTTATATTTCAGGGTGTTCTTTTTTTATGCTCTGCAGTAGTGATCAACACATGCATTTGTTAGACATTTATCCTAGTATTCAGTAACATGGCTGTGCTAGCACATGACAGGCAAAAAATATATATCCAAAAACAGTTTTACAATAACATATGCTGTTCTAACTAACAGGAGTTGAAACGACTCTAATGAAATCTTACACCACATATGAGTATGTCACTATTTATACAGACAACAGAAATATGTCCACCACAGCTCTTGTAATTAATGTACTGGCAACCCTGAGACTGAATTAGTGCAATGCACTCTATTCACCATTAAGGCTGATTCAAAAGCTACAGCTAGAGCAGCATGAGGTGACCACGCTTCTGACAGCATAGTCTTACCATATTCAAATAATACCTGTCCTCACAGATCTGCACTGACATCCAATTTATATTTATACAGTATTTCAAAAACCACACACACTCTCTATGTATATTTTATTTATATGCATCTAAAATGTTTGTTTAATAAGCCACCTTTCTCCTGATAAGGGACTGAAGGAGACTCACAATATTAAAAATAATAGAATAAAAAACATAAGTTAAACATTTAAAAATGTGAATTAAAATACAACTGAATAGTTAATTTCAACACAGTTCGGTTTTGTTTAGCTAGTAAATCTGGGCCACCTTGCCATGACAGTGACCTCTGGGTACGTACTAGGACCAGGCTGTAAGATTGCTAACATTCCTTTATAAAGCATATTCTCAGAGTGTACATACTAATTATTCCTGCTTAGAACAAAGAACACAGCAAAACTGTGTTAAACTGGGTCAAGGCATTGGTCTGTCTCGATCACTAGTGTGACTACCTCACTGTAGGAAGCTCTTCTTGTGTCAGTATGTCAGGCAAAAACAAAACAAAAATAAATATAAAAAAGATGAGAATAACGTTATGGCACCTTAAAAGACTAAATGCTACATTTTAATGTGAGCTTCCATGGACAAATCCACTTCTGAAGACTTGTCCAAGCCATCTCAAATGATCTAATCCCAGCCCAGCCCATTCCACTTCACATTTAGCCAGAATTGAACAATAACACATCAGCTGAGATAAGGTACTCAGTTCTTTCTCTCACACACTCATTTAGAGCATTTCTCCCAGTTTCTGGTATTTCTGTATCTTCAAAACTTGCACTGATTATCTAAATAATAGTATATTGTACAGTTTAAGATGAACTTCATCCTTACAGGCTCATGAGAAGAAATGGAAGGGAAGATCACATCAAGTTGAAAAGGACAAGTATGAGGACATTCACTTTGAGTTCACTGATGAATTTTTCCCTCAATACGGTTTTATATGGCATATGGTATAGTGATTAAAATACAGAACTGGGATTTTAAAGATTCAAGTTCAGTCCCACCAATCTATGACACTCACTGGATAACTGTGTCTCTTAGTCTAGCCTACTTCACGGGGCTGTTGTGGGAACAAAGTATGAGGCCAGAGGAAAGCCATGGACATCACTTTATGCTCACCAGAAAGGCAGGAAACAAACATAACTGTAAAACAAACATCAGAAACAGCTGTTATAGCTTTTAAATGGTAATTTTATCTATAGTAAGGAAGTCTTTGGACTTCAAACTTCATAACTGACAAATAAAGCAAGGCTTGCTAGATGTTTAAAGGATAAGCATACAAGAAAGGGAAATGTATTACATATTTTAACAAATACATGGATAAAGGAACGCCAAGGATGCTTAACTAAGGATGAGTCTTACTCCAGAATCAGAAGAGTATGTGATGGGATTTTCAATAGTCTTCAGATTAATTTAAGCTATAGGCTATTATTTATTTCATTCATTTATATACCACCGTGTTACTGCAAAGCAGCATTCTGGGTGGCTCAGAACATAATAAAATCAAAGGCATTACAATGGCAACGATAAAATCAAAGTATAAACAAACCAACAAAATTAAGTAACATCAAACCATAAACAATGTGAAATAAACATTTGAAAAGTGACAGGGCACAAGGTTGAAGAAAAATTCAGTTGAGGTTACAATCCGAAGAAAAGCATCTTCAGCAAACTCTTAAAAGTGGGGGTCAGGTGCAGTTCAACAAGAAGCTGGTTCCACAGAGCTGGTGCAACTGGTGAGAAAGCCTGTCTTCTTGTTGATGACTTACTGACTTCCTTGGGGTGGCTACCCTGAAGAGCACTGCCTGAAAGGATTTGGTGGCATGGGTAGATGATCTTGGTAAAAGATGCTCTGACAAGTTAACAGGAAGTTAATGGAAGTAATGATCTGCTAGTAAAGTATCAGCAGTATTCGTATCTGAGTATTTAAAAATATTTTTGAGGCATATGAAAAGCCCTAAACTTTTCCCTTTTCCCCCCAACTACTATACTGCTGAACTATAACTGCAACAGCTGCAAATGAGGTATGATTCTATGCCATGATTCCATTGTTTATTACTAACAAATATCCACACCTTGCTGAAGAGTAAAAAAAACTCCAGTACAAGGGGACAAGAGCACAACCTGCTGCCTCAATGTTTCTATCAAAATTATGCAAAAGATCCTTTCAGAAACTCACTTATTTTATATATCTCTAAACTACTCTTTGAGCCTTGCCAGCTGAAGAGCAAAGTACTGTATAAACGAAGTACGGTAGTACACAGAATAAGAGACATAAGCTGATGGGGTTTTATGTATCTGTTACAGCATCACAACTCTATGAATATTTTTGTTTATTAATCCCCTTTATACCACCTTCTTCCAAAAGTAGTCCAAGATGATACTGTACATTACTTGACAAAAATGTATATAAATATATTTAAAACATTATAAAGCTAACAATATAAAACTGCACACACAACCTCCATTTTTTTCTCAGTGGCAGATTATACCTCAACAAGGACAGGTGAAAAATATTTTAGGTACTGTGCTGAACTCAACAATACAGGGGCCTTCATTTCCATAATGAAGATATCCTACAATCAGGATGTCACCACTGAAATGGTACTATATACAGTCACAGCACAACAGGCAATGTATGCTGATGTAAACATAAGCAGGGCCTCAACAGATCTTAAAATGTGGTTTGTTTTACAAGATGCACTGACCATCTTGGAAAAGTGCTTTGGGCATAAGTGTCGTACAATTCAACTATCTGGAAGCTGCATTCTGTATCCACTGCAGATTCTGAAGCACCTGAGAAAATCAAGGAGTATCCTAAAGTTCCTATGACAATAGAATGCCCAGGAGTTATCAATGCCAATTATTCTTCCACTGAACATTCCACAATGAGAACAGACCTTAATCACTACTAACTTACCAGTTAGCAGTACCAATACACAGCTTAAGATGGCCAGTCATTTTGTTATATTAGGACCTCTTGGGTGCACCAAGCAGAAAGATAAAACATTATCCAAGGCCATGAAATGTAGCATTTAAGCCTGGATTCCTTTCATTCAAAACTGTAATTTTAATTACTGCATGATAGAATTCCCAATATTCAGATTTTTAAAAGGTGCAACTTTTGTCTCCTCTGAGAGAGCCTCCAGTTTTGAACCACCAACCACAGCAACATGAGAAACCAAAACAGTCTGCTACCATCAAGAATCATGTATGGAAGCCAATAAATACTGTCACACAACACACAGACAAAATGAACTCAAAAAACTGTATTCTGCAACATCTTATTCTCTAAAGTTGAAACTAAGCACTATATGAGAAACTACATGAGAAACAATTTTTTAAAGAGACAAAAAAGTTGATACTTCAAAAAGTAACAGCTATATTTTAATGTGAGTTTTTGTAGACCATATTTCTTCAGACATAAAAATCCTTTGTCATTATCAATTTACTACCACAAACACTGAGCAGAAAAGTCAACTGTAAATTCTGTCATCATCCAGATCTGACCAGCAATCTTTGCACTATAAAAATATACTAAGACCAACGTACTGTACGTATCCTCTAATTTTCAGCCCTGCTGGGCAGTGCTCCACCTCTCTCTTGAGACTCCACCCCACACAACTGCGTTCCATCGTGACTGGAACCTAATGCAAACACTGTGCGGAGGAGGAAGACAACTGTGCACAGGGAAGCAGACACACACACAGCTTAAAGGGAACCTTGAAGACTATATGAAACTCACTCTTAAGTCTTACTTTCCTAAAAAAACTCTCTTCTCACATAAGATGGGGCAGGGAAGCGCAGGTGTTTATAGGGAGAGAGATGATGAGCTGCACCTGGGAGCTCAAAAGGTGGGTGCAGAAAGAGGATTAAAGGAGGATGAAGAAGAAACAGGGGATTTTCTTAGGATTGGGGATGTTCAGCGAGGCATCAGCAGAGGAGGAACAGATCTGGGTTCAGCATCAGAGGAGATGGGAGTCCATCTTGTGTGCTTTGGTAGAACTGATGAAGGCTGATCCCTGTCAGGAGTCCTTGGGTGGTTTCCTAGCATTCAGAGGTAGAGGGTAGAGGCTGGAAATGAAGGACTGCATCTACTCCAGCTCCAGAGCTCATTGTGCCACTATCAAGAGGCAGTGATGGGGAAAGAGGAGTGGTGCCCATACCAACATCAGATCCAAATCCTGTGCCCACAGCTTCCCGGTGCCTAAGATGCCTGATGAGATCTGCAGCACCCACTCCTCTGCAGGTGAGCCACTGGTGGTAGAAATATCAGTGGAAAGGAGGAAGCAGCAATACGAAAAGTGCAAGGACAACCTCCACTTACAACCAATCGCTTCTATTCATTAAAAGGCTCCACATTTGGTCCTGGACTGGACTTGCTTATTACCAGTACTGTACGTACTAAACAACGGACAATTGCCAGGAATGCAGTCCTCTTGAGGTGCAGGAGAGCAGTGACAGGAACCACTGCTAAAAGCATCTTATGTAATAAAAACCCACTTTAACCAGCAGCCTGGAACCAGTGGCATATTAGGCAGGAAATCCCCCAGGTTGCTGGTTCCCCTAGACTAGAGATAGAGGCAGGAGTACTCACAACTAGTAAGCCAAAGATTTTCATTTCTTCTATTCATGAACTTGTTCCACTACCATATTTGGCCATTACACTGCTTTAATAGGATTGTTTATGAAAACAAAAGAATGTTACTTTTAGAAGCACTCTGCTCTCTCATGATTTCTTACAAACCTGGATTTCTACCCAAGTACTTCTTAGCTAACTTTGCCAAAACTTCATAAATCTTTGGCACTGCTGAGACAGAAAATTTCTGGCTAAATCTTAATGAGCCCCCGAAGTTTAAGCAGTTAGAAACAGTGACAGTAACCATAAAGTAACCATAAAGTATTACTTCCATCTGCGCATACCTATGAGATGCACACAATACTAGTATATTTTACACAGCAGAGAAAAAAAAACTTCTGCTGATAATCTTCGAGTAACACAGCTTAGTGTTTGATTTCACAAGACAAAACCTTTCCAACCAAAGGGAGGAGCAAGACAGAGTTGTTTGGAAACTTCAGTGAGTGAAAACTGGAGTTGACAGATTGTTAACTGGAGCTGGTTACAGGGATCATATAACTCCCGTACTACCACAGCTCTGTTGGCTGCTTGTCCATTTCTGGGAACAATTCAAAATGGTGGTTTTAACATATAAAGGACTGAATAACTTTGGGCCCAAGCTACCTGGAAGACCACACCTCCTTTTTCAAGCTTGCCTGGGATTTTAAATCATGAGGGGAGGCCTTTATCTTGATCTCACCACCATCACAGGTGGATTTAGTGAAGACATGAGAGAGGGCCTTCTCTACCCAAGCTGTGGAACTGCCTGGGATGGCCCTCTCTTTGCTGTCCTTCTGCAAGCAAATATCCTTCTCTTAAGGTAGGCTTATTTTAAGGAACTAGCTACCTAAGAAGGGGTTCTGACAAAGGCTGCTTTCCCCCTTAAATATAAGCTTTCAAATTTTATTACAGTTGGCTGCCTGGGGTCTTCCTGAGGAGAATTATGACATATAAACATTTTAAATAAATACTGTTTCCCCAAAAAAATACCTAATCTGAAAACAAGCCCTAGTATGATTTTTCAGGATACTCGTAATATAAGCCCCAGTTAAGTGAAACCCTGTTCTTCACCACTGTGCAGCAACCAGAAGATGGCAAGACTTTAAAACATCCCCTGAAAATAAGCCCTAATGTGTTTTTTGGAGCAAATTTGGGGAAACATGGTATATTATGCCCACAGAATATCTTATGCAACTTTAATTCCACTACTCAAGCAGATAGCAAGGGATCTTCTGTCTGGAATTTTGTTTCCAGCAGTAGAGATTCACATGTTTCTAGGAAGCATGTAAACAGCAGAAAGTATCAGCTCTTTTTCACTGTTTCAATAACATCTAATGTTTTGCCCCTCCCTGTATATGGAAATTTTGCCTACTACCCCCCACTAATATACCTATTTATTTATTTATTTATTTATTTATTTATTTATTTAGTTGTTTGTTTGTTTGTTTGTTTGTTTGTTTGTTTATTAAATTTATACCCCGCCCCTCTAGACCATGTCTACTCGGGGCGGCTTACAACATAAAAATCAATCCTGGGAGAAGAGCCAGTCTGTGTAGTCATGGGCAAGCTGAGCAGTCCCAGAGTGCTCTCAGGAGAAAGCGAGGTTAAACCCCTTCTCTAAACCTAGAAAGCCCAAGAAAGGGTTGCTAAAAGTCAGAACTGACTTGATGGAAAGTAATTATTCAGTATAGCACAGAAGTCACATCTGAACATAACTATGATGGCTAATATTTTATCACTTCTAATAGAGAATAATTAATTAATATTTTAGATCTCTTTGGGTCTGGCGTGTTCCAGATTCCATCACTAACAATTAGTATTTTAGCCGAATTTCTATTGGGAGGGCGTTCCACAGCCGAGGGGCCACCGCCGAGAAGGCCCGGTTTCCAATTTTTTCCCTTCCAAGTCTCTCTCAGCATCAGTCCCCTCAGCCGTCCCTGCTAGTTATGGCGGGTGGTTCGGGTAGATCTGGGTGGGAGAAGACGATCTGCCAAATAAACCTGCTTTAGTGGCAGACACTATTCAGGTGTGTTCAAAGGTGGAAAAAAGCATTCAGAGAAGCTTTTAATTCTCTGTTGCATAGTTCAGCATAACTCAACATCATTTAATGAGAGCTGTGGGATGCTACGCAGACAGAAGAACATATTCATGCGAAACATAATTTATACTGTTTACTATCACAAGAAATACGGACAGCACACACTCTGAAGACTTTTTCATGGGGGAGGGTTTATTAACAATTAACAACTAATGGCTACTAAACATAACCACTATTTATTTATTTATTACTTATTTATTTATTTGATTTAAATCCCGCCCATCTGGTCTGGTCGACCACTCTATCTGCAGCATGCTCATGAATATCAACTGTTGTGGAGTGGGGAAGGTGGTGTGCACGTTGCCAACTCTCAAGCATCTGGCTGAGGTCTAAAGAATGCCAGATCGGGTCTGGAATGATCCAAGCATTATAATGTCCTTGTCGTGCTATGTTTCAGGTATCAAGAGGTGGCACACAACATCTTTCTCTCCGCAACTGCTCTCACTATAGCCCAGTGCAGTGATGGTGAACCTTTTTGAGCCCGAGTGCCCAAACTGAAAACAACAACAACAACCCAGTGGGTGGCGGCGGCAGCAGAAGTGGCCGCAGAAGGGAGAATACCCGGCATGGAGGTGCCTCCAAACCCTACTCCAGATCCACCTCCAGTCGTGGCCAACTCTGCCACTGCCAATAGCTCAGCTGGCCTGCTGTTTCCAGTGCCAGCTGCTCAGGATCCTGGCCTGCCACCTGTTGGGGGCCTAGCACTGCGGCTGCAGCCGCCTCTTCAGGTTTGGCTGCCAGGGGTAGCGATCCAGCGACTTATGGCTCGTGTGCCAGCAGAGAGGGCTCTGCGTGCCAGCTGTGGTATGTATGCCATAGGTTCGCCATCTCTGGCCTAGCCCATCAAATTCAGGGCCTCGTGCTCTCCATTACTACTACTACAACAACTACAGGTCAACCCAATACAGTCTTGCAGCAACCCTTTCTAGCATCTTCTAGACACAAGAGTACTCCGGCGTGGTTTCCTACAGCCTTCTCCACGAGGCACTCTGGGGCTGTGCATGTGGAGCCCAAGGCTCCACAGGCTGGCTCTTCTACCACCCCCCACCCAGGCGTCGCGGGGAATCGAACTCATGACCGCCGGCTCCACCTCACAGAACGAGCCACTTCCGTGCTTCTCGCGACTCTGGAAACAAGCGCCTGACCAGAACTCCGTCGGCAACCCGAAGCCCGCTGCACCGGGTCGGCGCCGCACCCTCACTTCCCATTCCGCCGACCGTTTCGCCGCTTCCACACACAGACACACACACACACACCCGAGCCCCAAAGCCGCCCTTCCCGCCGCCCTCTCCTCAGCGGCCCAGGAACAACGCTCGGGCCCCTCAGCCCAGCCACCCTTCGCCTTCGCCGCCCCTCCCTGAGGCCCAGCCCGGCTGAATAGTTACCGTTCTGACAGGGTCCGACGCCCCCGGGGGCTCTGAGGCTGGCGGGGGTCGCGACGGGCCCAGCGGGGAAGGAGGGCCCGGCGGAGGCAAAGGGCAGCGGGGGAAAGCCTGTCGGGGGCACCGACATGGCACCGTCCTCCTAAGGCTTAGGCGGCGGCGGCGGCGGCTGCTAATTCGTTCTCTCTCTCTCTCTCTCGCCGCGTCGCCCAAGAAGGCTTTGGGTGAGGGGCGGGAGCGCGCGCGCGAGAGAGCGCCTACGTCGTTCGCCAACGGAACCGACTCCGGAAGGAACGTGCCGTGGAGCGGCAACGTCGGTCCTCCGGAGCTGCCGCTCCGGGGCGCGCGAGCGAAAGGACCCCGGGCTCTCTTTTTCCTCGTCGCCTCAGCCCACAGCGACCCCTAGCGACCCCGCCAATCGTTTCCCAGCGTTCTTCCTGCTCTGGATAGATTCTCTGGTCGTAATTCTCCTCTCTCTTTTTCACCCAGCTTGCTCTGCAGGATCAGATCAGAGAAGAGGATACTTTACTCTTTCTTTTGCCCCGTCGCTCTCTTTCTCTGCTTTTACCCTAACTAACGGGGGCCGGGGGCGTGCAGGGCTGCAGGTGACGGCAGGACTACAACTCCCGTCAAACTTTACCGGATAGGGCTGATGGGAGTTGCAGTCCAATGGCCGGGAAACTCTGGAAAGGCTTTTCTAAGATATATACGTTAACAGTGAATGAAGTCTCCTTCTGATACAATAACTCATTAGCACAGCCCTAATAACTTCAGTGAAGTTAACTGCTATGGTCTTTTCCAGGGAGTCTTCTCTTCTCATGAGATGGCCAAAGTATCGGAGCCTCAGCTTCAGGATCTGTCCTTCCAGTCAACACTCAGGGTTGATATCCTACAGAACGTATAGGTTTGTTCTCTTTGCAGTCCAGGGAACTCTCAAGAGTCTCCTCCAGCACCACTATTCAAAAGCACCAATTCTTCTGTGGTCAGCTTTCTTTATGGTCCAGCTCTCAATTCCATACCTCATTACAGGAAAAACCACAGCTTTGACTATTCAGACCTTTGTCGGCAAGGTGATGTCTCTGCTTTTTAAGATGCTGTTGAGGTTTGTCATCGTTTTCCTCCCAAGAAGCAGACGTCTTTTAATTTTGTGGCTGCTGTCACCATCTGCAGTGATCATGGAGCCCAGGAAAGTAAAAGCTGTCACTGCCTCCATATTATCCCCTTCTATTTGCCAGGAGGTGATCGGACCAGTGGCCATGATCTTCGTTTTTTTATGTTGAGCTTCAGACCATTTTTTTGCACTCTCCTCTTTCACCTTCATTAAGAGGCTCTTTAATTCCTCCTCACTTTCTGCCATCAGAGTGATATCATCTGCATATCGGAGGTTGTTGATATTTCTTCCGGCAATCTTAATTCCGGCTTGGGATTCCTCCAGTCCCGCCTTCCGCATGATGTATTCTGCATATAAGTTAAATAAGCAGGGAGACAATATACAGCCTTGTCATACTCCTTTCCCAATTTTGAACCAATCAGTTGTTCCATATCCAGTTCTAACTGTTGCTTCCTGTCCACACATAGATTTCTCAGCTTCAGAATCTCTGTGAAAATACAGGAGTATGTGAGACAAAAAACAAGCAGGAGCAGATAATGGCAAGCTGGCTTTCCCCACTGCTGGCTGCTGTGCAACATCTACCCCGCCAAATACAATGGCCACCAGCTATTGCTGCTATATTAATTATAAGCTGACTTTCTTTGCTGTGTTGTGTATAACCCATAATAATAATATTAATGTGCCATCAAGTCAATTCTGACTTATGGCAACCCTTTCTAGGGTTTGCGAGGCAAAGAGTACTCAGACGTGGCTTGCCATTCCCTTCAGGGGGCATCCTGGGACTGTGCAGCCAGCCCAAGGCCACACAGGATGGCTCATCTGTCTAACTCTGTCCAAGCCTTAACATAGCCTACATTCAAACAAACAAAGAAATAAAAAACTTCAGTTCCTGAAACTTCTGTTCCCAAAACTTACATTTACCAATGGCCACAAGATTAATGTCGTCAACACCTTGAATGTTCAACACCTGTTGTCATTTTGGAAGCTCTTCCTGAGATCTTTATTATTTATTTATTTATTTATTTATTTATTTATTTATTTATTTATTTATTTATTTATTTATTTATTTATTTATTTATTTATTTATTTATTTATTTATTTATTTATTTATTTATTTATTTATTTATTTATTTATTTATTTATTTATTTATTTATTTATTTATTTATTTATTTATTTATTTATTTATTTATTTATTTATTTATTTATTTATTTATTTATTTATTTATTTATTTATTTATTTATTTATTTATTTATTTATTTATTTATTTATTTGATTTCTGTCCCGCCCATCTAGACCAAAGGTCTACTCTGGGTGGTTTACAAATGTAAAAACAGTAAAACCAATAAGCATATATTATAAATCCAAGATGGCAAAAGTATAAGAAGTCAAGATACAGCAGGGGGGAAAGCCTTTTAAGTTTGTTCTTGAAAACACCCAGAGGGAGCCAGGCAGATCTCCACGGGCAAGTTGTTCCAAAGGTGATGGGCTACTGCCGAGAAGGCCCAGTTCCTCATTCTTTCCTTCTGGACCTCCCTTGGCATTAGCCCCTCAGCCACCTGGCCTGGCTGGAACGAGTGACTCTGGCAGAGCTGGGTGGGAGAAGGTGCGCTGCCAGATATCAAGGTCCTAAACCGTTTAGGGCTTTATGTGTAATTGTAAGAACTTTGAAATCAATGTGGAAATGAATGGGCAGCCAATGCAAGACAGACAGGGTGGGGGAAATATGGTGGTACCTTTTCAGCTCAGTAAGAAATCTGGCCGCCGCATTCTGCACCATCTGAAGTTTCTGCATCAGTCTCAAAGGCAGCCCCAGATAGAGCGCATTACAATACTCTAATCTACGAGTGCATGAACCAAAGTGGTGAGTGCCCCCACATCAAGATAGGGATGCAGCTGGGCAATCTGCTGAAGGTGGAAATGTGCGGAACGGACCACCGACGACACCTGGGTCTGCATGCTGAACGCCAGGTCCAGATGTACACCCAAACTGTGAACCTCACTCTTGGTGGTAAGAGCCACTCCCCCAAAAAAAGAGAGGGAGTTTCCCAAACTGACGTCTAGGACGCCCACCCGAAGGAGCTCTGTCTTGCCCGAATTCAGCCACAGCCCATTCTCCTGCATCCATTGCTGAAAAGCCTCCAGGCAGCGCTCAAGGGATGAAACGGCATCCACTGTTGTTGGAAAAAAAGGAGGTGTAGAGCTGAGTATCATCAGCATACTGATGACATGAAGCCTCACATCCCCTGATGACCCCCACCCAGCAGCTTCATATAAATATCATTGGAGAGATAATCGAGCCCTGCAGCACCCCACAATTGAAGCTCCACGAGGCTGAGAAACTCTCTCTAATCTGAAGTCTCTGGAATAATTGAGCCCTGCAACACCCCACAATTGAAGCTCCACGAGGCCGAGAAACTCTCTCTAATCTGAAGTCTCTGGGGACGGTCCTCCAAGCAGAAATGGAGCCAGGCCACCAATTCCCAACTCAGCCTCCCCAGGAGGATACTGTGGTCCAAGAGTATCAAAGGCGGCTGAGATATTGAGGAGAACCAGCAGAGACATTTTGCTCCTGTTGGCCTCCCTCAATAGGTCATCAAACAGGGCAACCAATGCCGTTTCGGTGCAGTGGTGCGGCCTGAAGCCCAACTGGAACGGATCCAGGGCATTGGTTTCATCCAGAAGAGCCTGCAGCCGGTCAGCCACCACCCTCTCAACTACCTTGCTGAGGAAAGAAACATTAGCGACGGGCCTATAATTATCAATATCAATGTGCTGTTGTTATTCCCTTTGGTCTCATCCCCACACTGGGCCCCACTCTCGCCATCCCCAAATCATGGAAATCTGTGTCCCCTATGCCAGAAGAAGCAGGTTGTAGCCACAAAAGCTCACACTGAAGCAAATCTCTTAAGGCTCAAAGGTGCTCAAATGCTTTTTTTTTTTTGCCCTTTTTTGCTGTTGCTGAAACAGATTGACTTTGCTACCTTTCTTAAAACATCAAAACAAAATATTCTGTATTCTGTCTCATTCAAGAGGCTCATATTCCGTCATCTCCAAGGAAGCACTAAAGTGACCACTAGGGGATGCTGCTGCATACCAAAGGAATCAACATTTGTGCTGAGCAGTCCTGTAGATGCATGATAAATGTAAGCAGTGCTTCGTAAAAATGAAAGCAAGAGGGGAAATGTGCAAAGGAACACAATGTATTAATGCAAAAATCTATGTTGTTTACATTGTTCGGATTGTTTTAACTGTTGTTTAGAAAATAAGTGTTGCATTTCATCTTGTTGCTCTTACTGTTTAAAAATCCATTACTGCCAATGGAGATCAGTATTTTTGTACTTATATAAAAAGAGAATAAAATTGTTTTTAAAATCATTGCATGCAAAAACATAGAGCACCCAAACATTGATGGCCACAAAGTGTTCTCTCTCTTTTTTTCTAGCATTATATGGAAATTATGTAGTCATTTTAACTGAAGTTATTTTAACCACAAAAGAACCATAGGACAGGAATGCAGGTTACATAGTATAAGAATCATGTAGGATGCAAGCACCAGATATAAGTGCATTTCCATAACGAACCATTAAAACCCAGTATCAAACACAGCCATCCTTGTGAGTGGGCACCCCACCTTCTGCTCAGTGGTGCAGCTGTCCCAATCCTCTAGATTTATTCTGCATTACATAAACAGAATCAATTCAGTCTAATGGGTTAAACAAACACCATTTCCTGGGGGACAGAGCTCCACTATCCTTCCTTACAAGCCCTGAGTAGCCTTCTCAGATTAGTAGCACCCCATTCCGTGTACTGTCAAGACCAGAGCCTGAGATGCGGGGGGACCCCTGAGTAGCCTTTTCAGATTAGTAGCACCCCATTCCCTGTAATGTCAAGACCAGAGCCTGAGATGTGGGGGAGGGAGACCCAGTGATTCGTGGTGACAGAGAAGTCAATGTGTGTGCAGCCACCTTCACTCTCCCACTTCTTACTCCTAGCTTTTTGATACACCTTCTTGCTGAACCATGAGGTGCAAGCAGGTGGAGACCACTGCACAGGTTTTAAGGCTGCCTCACAAACAAAAACAAAACTTTCTCCTCCTCCTGTCCTGCAGACTCTGAGATCTACATTCCTGCCTTGAGGCCCACAGAAGCATAGCAATTCCACCGAGGTTCTGCTTGGTGCCCCGAGACCTGGTAACTCTGCAGCCCAGAAGGATGAGGAAACCTTGACACTCCAGCTGCATT